GAATGGGACGAGCCCCTCGTGCCCGACGAGCTCCCCCACGTCGCGGACGGCCGCGGAGGCTGATGCCGGGCCCTTCGGGGCCGCCGCCCCGTCCCCCAGACGTCCTCAGGGGGCCCCAGGAGGCCCCCCAAGAGGGCCCCAAAAGGCCTCCCAAGACGGCCCCGAGAGGCCAAAAGCAATGATTTTACATTGGTTTGGGATGGATTTGGGCGTTGCTGGCCCCTCGGGGCCCCCCGCCCTGTCCCCCAGACGCCCCAAGGAGGGCCCAAATAGGGCCCCAAGAGGCCAGCGGCACTGATTTCACGCGATGCTGGCCCCTTGATGCCGCCGCCCTGTCCCCCAGATTCCCTCAAGAGGGCCCCAAGAGGCTCCCCAAGAGGGCCCCAACAGGCCAAACTCGCTGCTTCCACGCAGGTTTGGGGCGGAGTTTGGCGTTGTCGCCCTTTCGGGTGTCACCGTCCGACCGAGGCGGCCCGAGAGGCCGAGACTGCTCACGAGGCCCCCCAGGCGGCTCAAGATCGGGGGCCACATGCGAACCCTGCCCCTACCCCCCACAGTGAACCCCACCCTCTCCCTCAGAAATCGTGGGGGGGGGGTAGGGGTAGGGTTCGCATGTGGCCCCCGATCAAGAGGCCCCCCCTCGATCGCCCCCCCCCCCAAGACGGCCCAGGGCGTCGCCGCCTCCGCTGCCGCCACTTCTCTACTTCGACCAGACGTAAAAGTGACCCTTCGCCGGAGTGACTTATGGTGCGGGCTCTCGGGGCCTAAGAGACGGGGGTCAATGCAAACGGGGTTCAGCCACGGCGCCGGATCCTGCAGGATCCCGCGAAGACCCCCTCTGGCTGACCCGGGTCAGCGAGCCGCTCGCGGCCGCGAGGCGGCCGCGCCTATTGGCTGGCCCGGGTTTGCGAAGACCTGCGTTGCAGTTTTTTTTGTCTTGCGTTGCCGTTTTTGGTTTCCTGCTGACCCGGGTCTGGATTGACCCGGGTCAGAAGATCCCCGAGGTTCATTGGGATCTCCCGACCGCCGAGCGCGATCCGATAGTAGCGTCTTGCGCGCCTGTGTTTGGTCACCCCGCGGCCCCCAGGTCGCTCTTACCAGGGTCACGTCGCGCACCAAAGGTCACTCTTGCCCAGGGGCACGTCTTGCGTGTAGCCGAATACCTTGATAGGGTTCGAAAACATGGCGCATGATGATGGGGTCTAGGGCTCTGGTTGTGATGTTTCGCGATATTGCAACGTTACCACAACGTCGGATCTCAGGAAACATTTCTGGATAATTTGGTCGCGTCGTTTGAAATTCACGGCGGCAAGTTGTTAGTTTGTTCTGATCTCCAAGGGCCCTCGACATGCCCCAGGACCGTCGAAAAACGAACGGGATGAACAGTTGCCTTTGGGAGACGGTTGGGATTCCAGGAGATCGTTGCCTCACCCTTACATTGTTTGACACTCGCTGCCCGTTGAGATGCGATTCAAATTGATTCCTCTCGCTTCGCGGGGTGCACGTATGGAGCACGTACAGTCCAGTCGTTACGAGGCCCTGGAGGAAGCTTCTGTGGGGCCTTTTGGATGCTTCTTGGGGCCTCTCGGGGGCTTCTTTAGGGCCTCTTGGGGCCTCATGTGGCCTCTTGGGGTCCTCTTGGGCCGTCTTGGGGGCATCATTGGACCGTATTGGGGTCCCCTTGGGCTGTCTTGGGGCCCTCTTGGGGGCTTCTTGGGCCGTCTGGGGACCATGTTGGAGGCTGCTTGGGGCGTCATGGGCCTCTGAGAGATGAAAAAGGCGAGAGCGCGAAATCCGTCAGAAACCACTGGAACATCAATGATCTCGGGGGTCCTTTTGGGGCCTCTCGGAGCGTCTTGGGTTTTGGGGGGGGCCCTCTCGGGGCCATCCTGCATTGTCTTGGGGTCGTCTTGACCCATACTGAAGCCATCTTGAGCCGTCTTGACGCCCTGGAAGTGGCGTGGCCTCGCCTCGGGGGGGGGGAAGGAAGGGGGGTAGGGGGTTATGATTGCCGTGTAAGTGCACGTGCCGTAGTTCGGTCGAGTGTAGTTCACGACGGATGCGAGCGAAATTGCACGTGACATTGAAATCGAGCGGCACGACGCCGCGGCATGTTACCATGCCACGACGCCACGCCGCAAGGCTCCAAGCCGTGTGCTCTGGAGCAGTAGAACGAGCAGTGCTAGTGGTGCCGCGAGCCTCACCACCCCGACACTATGCGCCCAGCTTCGCACGCACGATTGAAGCTTCAGAGCCCCAATCTCCATCAGAGTCGGTGTAGCTCGCCTTCGGTTCTTAGCTCTGCTTGATCATTGTCAGGAGCAGGATTGGGCGAGAAGGGCCTGCATGCAGCAAGACGCGAGCACTCGAGGAACCATTTCGGAACCGAGCGTGGTTATGCAACTTAGCTGCGCAGGTTGGTTTGCACATTGGTGTCGAAGGATTGGGTACAGCTGGAGCGACAGGTGCTGTTTCGAGTAAGAACTGTCTGACAAATCTGCTGGACGCAGCGTTTGTGGTCTCCGATCCCATCGCCTGGTCGAGACTCCCTTTGATTGTGGCTTGCGAAATCCGCCCTGGACCCGAACTCCACCACTGTGGGGAGCTGTGCGCACGCAAGTCAGCGCCACGCACGTGGCTCGGCGGCCTGGAGCAGCTCTACTGTCGGAGGCCACCGGCAGCACGGGCTTGTCCGATCAGGCGGGCATGCGGCATGGGGGGATGTTGAAGCATTGGGGCGACGGACACGTGCACAGCGTACGTGCACGCGTGCAAGAGTGCATGTAAGTATGGTCGGACGACATACCGCATGGCGACATTGACAGCAGCAGTTGCAAGGGTGGGCTTACATGCGCACGTGCAAACATACGCGCAAATCTTCGTTCCGATATGTAAGTTAGCTAACTGCACGCATCTGCTGCCCTGCCCTCATTACCAGGCGTTTCGCGCGGACCGTGCGGCCCGTGAGTTTGTGGCGCATGTTTACCCGTTGACTAGAAGGGCGCTGGAGTCCTCCTCATCTTCGTGCTTTCCTCCTCACTGTCCTCCTCCAATTCCTCCTCGTCATCCTCCTCCCCTCCTTCCCCCCCCTCTCCTCACAGTCCTTCCTCTGCACACCTTTCTCGCATCCTCCCTCACGCTCCCGCCTGGGGTGGACGAGGCGCCGCTCCCCTCCGATCGAAGCAGAGAGGGCCAGAAGTGATCTTCTTCCCCCCTCCCGATTTGGGGGGTAGGAGGGGAGGAGGTGGAGGAGGACCGAGTGTTCCAAACCATCCTGTGGTGTTGGGTCTCGTGTTGAAGAGACAGCGCCCCGCGTTCCTCCTCCTCTCCTTCTTTCATTTCCTCTCCTCTCCTCTCCTCCACTCCTCCCCCTCCTCCCTCCTCCGCAGTTCGCGTGCGGCTCTCCCACCCATATGGAGCTCCACCGAAGGTCCCAGGGGCGCAGCCCGCATGCGTCCCCCACACCCAGTACAGCGTTTCGTGGCCCGATTGGGAGCTCCACCGAAGGTCCCAGTGGCGCGTCCCGCATGCGTCTCCCCCACCCAGTACAGCGTTGCGTGGCCCCATAGGGAGCTCCACCGAAGGTCCCAGTTGCGCAGCCCGTATGCGTCTCCCCCACCCAGTACAGCATTTCGTGGCCCCGTAGGGAGCTCCACCGAAGGTCCCAGCGGCGCAGCCCGCATGCGTGTCCCCCACCCAGTACAGCGTTTCGTGGCCCCATTGGGAGCTCCACAGGTCCCAGTGGCGCGTCCCGCATGCGTCTCCCCCACCCAGTACAACGTTTCGTGGCCCCATAGGGAGCTCCACCGAAGGTCCCAGTTGCGCAGCCCGTATGCGTCCCCCCCACCCAGTACAGCACTTCGTGGCCCCGTAGGGAGCTCCACCGAAGGTCCCAGGGGCGCAGCCCGCATGCGTCCCCCCGACCCAGTACAGCGCTTGGTGGCCCCATTGGGAGCTCCACCGAAGGTCCCAGTGGCGCGTCCCGCATGCGTCTCCCCCAGCCAGTACAGCGTTGCGTGGCCCCATAGTGAGCTCCACCAAAGGCCCCAGTGGCGCAGCCCGCATGCGTCTCCCACACCCACTACAGCGTTTCGTGGCCCCACGGGGAGCTCCACCGAACGTTCCAGTGGCGAGTCCGCATGCGTCCCCCCCACCCAGTACAGCGTTTCGAGGACCGACAAGGCAGCTCCACCGAAGACGACACCTACATCTGCGTTAGTCACAACTGCATACGGTTGGGTCCTTTGCCAGGCTAATGTTTTTACCTGTGGCCTGCAACGGTCGCTACCCAGACCCACCCCCGGGCAACGGTAACGGTCGCATGAAGAGGGGGTGCCTGGACACCCCCAGGGCGTGGCTTTGGACCCCCCTTGGTGCTTGCACACGTACTGTGGCGATCGCAGCGCACCCCAGCCCCGACCGTGTGAGCCCCTCTGGGCCCGCCTTCCCAAGAAGAGCATGCACCGTAGACACGCTAACGGCGATGTAGGTAACGGCGATGTAGGTTTCGGTATTGTGGGAACGCGTGGCTCGTGCTTTCCTACACTTCGCTGTTCCGCGTTCGTTCGATGCGTTCGCATGCTGGAGATGTGGGAAAGTGTGGTTCGCTATTTCCTAAAATTCTTTACGCTTCGCGTATCCCCACCAGCCCATCTCACAGCAGCAACTCTTGCGAAGCATGCCGACAGTCGTGTTTTTCAGGCGTGTGTCCGCTTGGCCCCGCATATCTCCCCTGTTCCTCCTTCCTCCCGCCTCCTTGTACATCCTCCTTGTGGGGGGAGCGGGAGAAGGACGAGGCGGAGGGGGAGGGAGAGAAAGCGCTCCTCGTGATTGGAGTCGTGTGGGGGTTGTCGTCCTGGTGTGAGTCGTTCGGGCCCTTCTTCCTGGTGTGAGTCGTTCGGGCTCTTCGTGGTGTGAGTCGTTCGGGCTCTTCGTCCTGCTGTGAGTCGTTCGGGCTACTCGTGGTGTGAGTTGTTCGGGCCCCTCATCCTGGTGTGAGTCGTTCGGGCCCCTCCTCCTGGTGTAACTCGTTCGGGCTCCTCGTGGTGTGAGTCGTTCGGGGCCCGCGTCGTGGTGTGAGTCGTTCGGGCTCCTCGTGGTGTGGGTCGTTCGGGCGCCTCGTCCTGGTGTGAGTCGTTCGGGCCCCTCTTTGTGGTGTGAGTCGTTCGGGCTCTTCGTGGTGTGAGTCGTTCGGGCCCCTCGTCCTGGTGTGAGTCGTTCGGGCTCCTCGTGGGGCCTCTTGGGGGCCTCTTGGGGCCTCTAGGGCCTCTTGGGGGCTTCTTGGGGGCCTCTTGGGGGCCTCTTGAGCCTCTTGGGGGCCTCTTGGGGCCTCTTGGGGACTCTTTGGGGCCTCTTGGGGGCCCCTTGGGGCCTCTTGGGGGCCTCGTGGGGGCCTCTTGGAGGCCTCTTGGGAGCCTCCTGGGGGCCTCTTGGGGCCATCTTGGGGCCTCTTGCGACCTCCTCAGAAGCGCAAATGAGCGCTGCCCCCTGAGAAGGACAAAATGAGCCCAAAACCCTTCGTAACATCAATGATTTTGCTATGAAGGACGATGGGCGCTGCCCCCTCAGAAGCCCAAAATGGGCCCAAAACCATAGTAAATCAATGATTTTGGCTTCAAAGAAGAGCGGAGGCGCCAAACGGTCCCCCCCCCCTCGGGGCCAGAATCCTCATGAGGGTCGTCGTTTTTTAGCCCTCCCAGGAGTCGAAAAAGACTCCCCTGACGACCCGCGGCCCGCCCTCTCCAGGCCCAGGGGGAGGGGGTAGGGGGAGGGGTAAACCCCTCCCCGAAGGGGAAGAAGGGGGTTGAGGACAGAGCGGGCTCTCTAAACCACTCACGCCCAAAGGGCTGGTGGGATTTA